TCTCCACACAACCTTGAGCATGTTACTCAGAAAGCCCCAGTGTCGTCACTTGTAAAATACTCGTGACCATTCCCATCCGACAGGTTTGGCTGGCATGACCAGCGCTAACAGATGGGCTGTAGAATCAGCCATGGGAACAAATACCAACACCCTGGACCCTTCTCCAAACAACCTTGAGCATGTTACTCAGAAAGCCCCAGTGTCGTCACTTGTAAAATACTCGTGACCATTCCCATCCGACAGGTTTGGTGTGAGAATTTTAGCAAAGATATTTGATTTGGTCGGCCATGAAATACAGTGGAATGGTTTACATGGGCAGGCTATGGGGGTCTTAGATCTCAGTGTCTTTCTATAACACTTCTGGCTAACCTCTCCTCTGAAGTCCCATGCCTCTTACACCCCAGAGCTCTATTCCCTCTGCTTAGAACTTTCCCTCCCTCTTTCCAGCTGGCAGACATTTATTACATCCTTTGGGTTTCAATTAAACATTTATTCCAGGAAGTCTCCCTGATTGTCGGAAGTGGGGTTAGGTGGTCTTCCTATGTATTCCTGTTACTTCTCATTAGCACTGAGTGCACTGCAAACAACCTTATATTTAAGACCTCTGTTCCCTGTGAACCAGTTAGTACAATGAAGCCAAGGGCTGTGTCCACCTTACTCCCAGCTGTATCTACAATGTTTAATTAGAGTAGGTCACTTAATGCTTATTTGTGGGTGGATGGATGGATGGATGGATGGAAGAATGCACACTATTGAGATTTGTTTTTAAAAGGGCATGTTACAAGGCAGGGTTCGATAAGACAATCATAATATTTGTGAAATATGGAGTGCCACACAAACTCTTTTATGCTGAGACCATAACTTTCATCAAAAAAAGTTCCCAAGGGGGAATGTTATTAAAATTTTAGAACTTTAAAATTAGCAGTATCCCTTTTCATCATTTAGTTAAATATCTTCAGTTAACAGAAAGAAACAGCTTAGGGCCAAAGAGTTAAAGTAACTTACCAAAGTTACCCAGTTCCTTATGGCTGGGACTGGTAACTTGGTATGTGGATTCTCTAGCATTTGATTTCAGAGTGCGCCTCGCACTGTCTTCTTTCAGGATCCAAACACTGAAACACTCTAATGGATCACAGATAAATCAGATGCTATGCAGCGGGGGGTGGGAGGGACTGCTATTTCATGTTCTTGGGGTTGGGTGTTTTTAGATTTGATGCATTTTGTGGGAAGGAAATCATCACTTTACGTGATAGCTTCTAAACCCTTCAGCCCATCTGAATACTTTTGAAAGAATTTCAATTTCTGGATCACACAAAATACTCGGACCTGCTTGGCAGACTTTTTTCCATCCATGGAATCCCAAAGTAGCAAGCTTGAATTGAAAATAAGTTATTGGTAAACATTTGAAAGTGAGAAACAAATTATTCCCAGAATACTTAGCTCCTTCCTTCAGATACACACTTGAAAATTACTAACTCTATTCCTTGAGAATGCTTGACTCTCTCCCTAAATCATAACATCAGTAAACTTACCGAAATATTTTTACAATTTTATTAGAGGTTTTAATTCACTGCTTTATCTATCTCTGTTAGACTGCAAAATAGCTTTAAATATTCAAGTGGTAATTAATGAATCTTTTATGTTTCAAATCAAACATTTTCATCTGTGTACTGGTGGAGTAGCAGTGAGGAAGGATTTAAAGAATAATTGTTTCTACCTTTTCCACACTGTTGACCAGCATTTACCTTAGGTTTTGGGAGTGGGTGGGCATTCTGTACCTAGTGGTGCTAAAGCTCGGTGTGGATGGTGTCTGCTGTCTTTCCGCAGGTCAGGATTTCTTGACATGTTTGTTGCCAGAGACATTCCCGACTAGATGGAAAGTCTCTGAATGTGGAATTTTTGCTTGAGTGCAAAATAATAAAAAGCATGTGTATGTTAAAAAAGGATCAGCTTAATGGCAAATGAGCATTGGCTTACATTAATATTCTATTACAGTAAAAACTTCTATTTAATAAATTTTCTCCAGACTTTTTCCCTCCAAAATCTTACATATTTTTCTAAGTGGCATGCCAACCGAAAGAAAGTATATATAAGACATTTGATTTATGTTAAGTCAATAGCTCACACAAGCCATTTAAAATTGTGTTTTAAGTGTAGAAATAGAAACCCAAGGAAACACATATAGTACCATAGATTGAGAAGGGAGTGTTAGCTTTCCAGGGGCTGAAATGCCTTGTAAATATTATTCTATTTAGAAGATATTTTTAAAATGTAGTATTTTATGTCAAATGGCAAGAAGGCAAGTCCAAAATGCTGTGATTTAGTTTAGAACCGAAAGTTAAGCCGGTATTAAAGACTTCATGTAAGAAAATAGTTTTCCTTTCTTCTGTCACTCATGGGAGATGAGCCAGAGTGAGAGGAGTCCTTGAAAACGTTCACAAAGAGACTGACAAAAGTCCTGATTGGAAGCCGTAACAGCCACCCTGTGTTGTTCTATGGCCCTAATTAATACTGGAGTTGGTGACATTTATGTATCAGAGCAATAAGCTAAACAGGAAACAATTTATGTCACCTAAAGCTTTTTAACAAATCGATGCAACTATTTGTAATTGCTTGTTTCACAAGATTAAAAGTGCTAAGGCCTGATCTTCGCCCACGGATTTGTGGTCAACATGACCCTTGCTTCCGTTGGAAAAAAAAAAAAAAAAAAAAATGGAGAGTTAGTGATCAGCACTGACTTCCATCAAGTAATCCATATTGCTAATATTTCTGGAATTTTAATGTAGTTACAATTTATAGCCGATCAAATGTGGTTACCTAAATTGCTGTTGCTGGTAGACAGTTTAACTGTCTTTATTAATTACAGTATAATTTAATGTTTGAGTACTGGCACTTGTGTTGGTCATTTTTACAGCTAGAGCAGTTATCTGCCTTATGACGAACCATTTTAGCATTTTCAATGGAAATTTGCTAATATGATGAGTGATAAAAATGTCACATGCTGGTAAATAATGATTATTGCTTTGGCTGAAATTAATTCTTGAAAGGCCGGTTACCTTCAAATTAACATTGTAACTTGAAACTTGTCTTTTTTCCTCCTTATATTCCCCATATAAACAAAAAAAATTTTTTTAAAGGACCATTAATAATTTAAAATGGAGATATATATATATATATATATGTATTTAGCATTAACCATCAAAATGTCATTTTACAGAGTGAAAAAATAAGACAACATAGGGTTTCGTTTTTTTAAAAAATAAAATACTGTTTAAAAATAAATATAAGTAGGTTATATCTAGAGTGATGGTTTTCTACTCCAAATATTGTCCCACAGTTAAACCAGTGTTTTCGTATGTAATTTAATTTCCCTCCAATGTGAATTCTGTCTTAAACCTTTCATCAGTCAGTTCCTTAAACGAAAGTTTGAGACCGAAATTCACTTTATTTGAATAAGTACTTTTATTCGACTCAACTGCAATGAGAACGGAAGATAAATTGTGATTACTATCCTATACACAAATACGTAATATCACCAGATGACAATGTCTATTAAGAAAGACTAATTATACTTTGTTTTTATCTTTTTTGGGGGGTAGGGGGAGGTTGTTGATATCATGATGTGTTGGTGTGAAATCAGTCTTCTTAAGACTTTATGTTCTTTAAATAAAGGTTCCCTATTTAAAAGACGAGCCAGCATTTGGGGTTTGCTGCCTTGTTTCTCTGAGTGACAAGCCTGAAATAAATATGTAAAAGGGTTCTTGCTTTAGAACAATTCCTGAAATACAACAACAACAAAAAATATACTGGGCATCAATCAGCAAAATCTTCACTAACACATCATACTTGGTTTGGGTCCTTCAATTTAAAAGAAATTTGTGTTCATGTTTCATTTTACCAACTGTAAGCGGTATTTATGTTAAAACCTGGCAATGAAAGGAATTTCAATTAACCCTAGTATTATATTCTTAGCCAGGTGAGAATTAGAGTTCGAATGTTTTGCTAATTATCAGACTAGAGGGTTTCTGGACTGTGACATAATTGTTAATGAAAAGGGGACAGTAGTTCACAACTAATAGAAAAATCTACTTTAAAAATAACCATACGCACAAAATTTCCCTAATACAGGCTTTTAAAAACAATGCTGGGAAAGAACTCTTACACGTTCCTCACCATCAGCAAGGGTTTTGCCGAATAGAGACTGCAAGGTGAATTCTCAAGGCTTGCATTATGTGTTTTGAGTTATATACGTAACAGTTTTTGTTACCATGGTTCAGTCCCTTAAAGTGCTGCTTTCAATACCCTAGCAATTTCATTTTTACAGAAAGATGACACTCAAATTCATTAATCCTTAGAATATACATGATAGAATAATATTAAAGAGAAACAGCAAATTTTTCTAAGGATAAGCAAATTAAAAAATATCATCTCAAAATGAAAATGTTTTTTCTAGAATATTTAGCACTGGAGTTCTGTTTTCTTCACTCAATGCAGTTACCTAGCATAGTTCTGATAGAATATTTTTATAAAATCATTTGTTCTAATCTAAGCATTTATCATTATATGCAAAAAGATTTCTTGATGAGAATATTATAGACGGTGCATGTTTTTGACATTAGCATTTTATTTGGATGACTAATCTTGCAGATGTGAAATTTTAATGAATTATTCATGAAATTGCTTTCCTCTGAAATTTTAGTTTGCTCTTAATGCTAGTTATTAAACATTTTGTTATTCTTTATAAAATTTGATGAAGAAAAATAAGGGTGTGCTCCCTCAAGAGAAAAGATAGCTTCTGTTTTTTTTTCTTCCCAATTCTGTGTGGACACCTTCACTGGAAATCCTGAGGCTAAGCGCTTCAGTCCTCCCTGATGATGAAAGCTTTTAGTTAAGATTGATTTTTATTCTGTGATGGAAACAGCTGGTGATAAACCTAAGGCATATGCCCAACAGACAGCATCGGCAGGTCAGAAGGGGAAAGAAACTTAGGCTGTGGCGACTTTTACTACCAGTGTGAACAACCAGCATTTTTATTGCATTTGAGAATGCTATAATGTCAGTAATTAGTACTGACTACACAACATTTTTTTTATTGTCTGTATCCACAGACATGGAATGATGGAATTACAGTTGATGTCAAGGAATGAGTTTCTTTTATGCCTTATCAAAACAAAACAAAACAAAAAACTCTTGTTACCGGCAGCACAAATACACGAAGCACCATGCTCACAGTCCAGACTGTACCATCTTTGTCAAGGCTTATGGGCAGCAGAGACTGCCTGAGCTACACGGGGCCCATGAATTGCCTTTAGGAATATAAATCTGATTCTCAGGATTAAAAAGTGAAACCAACTTTCAGAACATCCAAAAATATCAGGAGGGTATGTCATTATCCAAAAGGTACCAGAAAGATTCAAGATCCTGCTAAGCACATTCTTCTTTGTGCCCTTGGAAACAGGAGCTCAGCTGGAATGTGGAAAGGAGAGGAAATATTTTGTAACTTTTTTTTTTTATAAAAAAGCCCTAATTATTGATTTACATCATATTTTGGGTTAAGACTCCAAGGTTGTCTTTACTAGGATGCTAGAAATAATGTTAGAGCTGCCCAGAGGTGGTGGGAACAGGTGGTCGTTCTCGTACATAAGCCTTGAAATTTCATTTCACTGCTGGTCCAATGTGGCAGCTTAACTCATCTTACGGGGACAGGCTCTAGGGACAAGTAGGATGGATCCTCATTCCTGACAGACAGTGAGTGCATTTGTCTGACACAGGGGGCTACCTCCCTAACGTACTTTTCTTTGAGGGGGAAAAAAAAAAAGTAACAAATTTTCTTTACATCTTGGCACCTTGCAAAGTTTTTTTTTTCTTTTTTTCTTTTTTGTACAAAAGTTCAATAGTTTTGACACCCCCCCATTATTAATCACTACTTCACTGATAAACTTTGAAAGTGTGACCCTGGAATTTCATCATGCAAAATATTTACTGCAGCAGGAGAAAACATTTTTTAAACAACATTTTTTTTTTCTCTTTTCAAATGTATGAACTTGTTTAAGATAGCCAGGAAGGCAGTGGTAGGATAAACACAAGGGATAGGAATGTATCAAAAAACAGATTAACACACACGCGCACGCACGCACACAAAAAAACCTGTACAAAATGCTCCAATCAATGAGAACAGAAAAAAAAAAAAATCTGTCAACTATGTTACAATTTAAAAGGCAAAAAAAAAAAAAAAGGGAGTTTCTCCCTCCCACATGTCAGGAAATCTCATCCAATATTCTTAAAGCAAAGATAACTAAATAAAATACATGTGCAGCATATTCTGCAATTCCATTACATACAGTAGTTTTTTTCAAAGCTATTTTTTTTTAGTATCATTAATATAAAGCAGTTGCACAAAAAGCAAAGGTGTTTTGACAAACAGGTGTATGCATTTATTCCTTTTTAGGAACAATATCTAAAAAAAGAACTGCCCTCTGCCCTCCCCCAAAAAAGACAAAGATTCACACAGACACATCAGGATATATGTACAACATAATAAACCCCATCCTAAAGAAGCGACTGGAATACCCCCAAGGGATACAGAACCAGAATTGTAAAAATCATAGTGAAGTTTGCTTGCTGTAAAGCCTGAGAATTTTTTTTTTTCAGTTGGTTCTTCTGCGAGGTTTGATACCTGCAAAGATATGTAAAATCTAATTTTTCTTTTTCTTTTTTTGCTACAGTCTTTAGACTAAGCATGCAAGACATACGACTAAGTGCAACTGAGTGAAATGTATTTTTTTTTTAATTTTAATCATTCCCTAAAGGTTTGAACTGAGGTATGCGTACTAACAGTTTCTCATGCTGTTATCTTTACTCATGTCTAGCTACACATGCTGAGAATGAACTAATCTACCAGATTTTTATCCTCTTTTGAATACCAAACTAACCAGCAACCACTCAGTTTAGAAGCACAGGGCCCCCTTCCCATGACCCTGTCTGGCTACTGCCTGCACATCATGAAGCTGCCTGGAAAAGTTTTAAAAAAAAAAAGTCTTGAGTGACCACAGACTGCCCTTTATACAGAAAGCAGAGTGAAGCTTCAAAAGTAACTGCCAAAGAAGTTTTTGTACCAAGCTTATGAGTGGACGGGAGTGTTACTTTTTTTTTTTTTTAAATGAAAAATGCTGACCAAAGCCTAATTAGAAAAAAGTAAAAAGGAAAAAAATTTAAAAAACAAACCAACAAACAAAAAACCCCACTGGAGGATATATGCCAAAATCAACCAAAATTAACGCAGTGGTCATAGCACAGTCCTTAAACAAAAGTGGCATACGATCTTTCTAAAAAAATTTTTTTAATTCTAGATATACTATCATGTGGTCTTGTTCAATTGTGGAAACTTTTCTGTTCTCTCTGAATCGTAACCATCTCCTTTACTGGAAACCCTAATTTTCAGCGGCCTCATACATTACTTTTTTTTTCTTTGAGATGGGACTCCCTTCTGTAGCTCCTTTAATACCGTGTCTTATTTTTATCTTCAGTAGCCCCATAATTTCTCTGTACAAGAATGAGTTTTGGTCTCCGAAGAGGTATAGAAAGAAAAAAGAAAAAGACAACTAGAAAAAAGTAACAACTTTGGTTCCATTACCTACTCGGTCTTCTAAATTTACTCTATGATGAAGGAGCAGTTCTCTTTCTCAGGTTAGCAATAGCCTACAGCTCATCGTTTGCCTCTAAATTCTTTCGCCTCCTTTGATCAACAATAAGAGGATATTTGGCTTCATCAGATAAAGCATAAAACAGAACATAATTTACCTTTGTGTAATATCTTTGGTAATTTTAGAAAAAAAAGTACAAAGAATATAAATTAAGCTCCGAAAGGCTCTAGAACTAAAAAGCTACAGTCTAGATAAATGGCAGGAAAGTGGGTGCAGCGTGGAAGTGGGGGGGATGGGGGGGTTCTAAGGACTGAGGTTGTACTGACCTATAACCATCATGTTCTGCATGCTGTTTGGTTTTCCAAAAGCTCAAGGCTGAGAAGAGCCCCAGCCTACCTGATGTCATATTCTGTTAGTTTTTGATACTGGGTTGTTGTGATCATATTGCATTACAAACTGTAGTACCAAATTTGCACATTTGAAAAGAATGCTTTAGCATTTGCTGAACTCAGTCCTCATTAACTCCTATAACAAGTTCAATCTGAAATCTAATTTGCATTCAAACAGATTAATGCCACTAAGCAGGTCTGAACTGTTATAAACTCAGTGCTGCCGCTGCCACTTTTCAGCAAAGTTGCTCAGGGAAGCCAGTTTCTTTGGCTATTCTGCAAACAAAGCAACCCGTGTAACAGAGAGCCCATGGCTCACTGCAACTTGGCTATACAAGGGAGAGCCTTTCACAGCCATACTGTCTACATGTTGTCTAATTATTAAGAGATTTATTTTTTTCGGTGCTGCCTATGTTTCCCTGTGCTGGTAGTCGGCTGTGGCATAATGAAGAATCATAGTTGCTGCCAAAAAAAGAGGACAATCTCAAACCACCCCCTTACCACCCCCAGAACTGCTTTGTGGAATGAATCTGCATTGTTCCTAGTGTGTGTCTCTATTTTTTTTTCTGTCATTCATTCTCTTTCTGGCAGGATGTCACATCCATGTGAGAGGACCTTCATGTGTAGAGTGCAGCATTTGGGACCTTTTTGAAAAAGACCAAAACGGAATGTTTTCTGACTTTAGAGAAACGTGGTGATGTCTGAAGGAACATGGAATGAGTGACAGAAAGCTACAAACGAGAAATGACATTCAGCTTTGTATAATAAAAACACCTATTAACATTCATCACAAGGTACAGAAAACTTTAAGCCTCCAGGAGGCCATGGGCCCAAATGAAGGCCTGAGGTCAGAACTTAAAATGGTATAGTAGAAGCAAAAAAAAAAAAAAAAAAAAAAAAAAAAAAAAAAAAAGCAATACATTAAAGAGTTTGGGATAATTATTTTTTGACCCCTCCCCCCAATACACACACAAAGGCCTTCCCCATCCCAACTGGAAGCAAAAAATAAAAAAAAAAAAAAATAATAAAGGAGTAAAGGCAGTGATAATCAACATGCAGTACTGTGCAAATAGGTCGTCCATTGGAATCCTTAAATTCTGGGCAAAGGCTTGGTCTGCAGCTTAGGTGCACAAGCTCAGTCGGGTGTCCTCAGTGTCCAATGTTGGCAGGACTGCAGTTCAAAGTCTGCTGCTAAAAGTGAATCAGTTTAGCAAATTTACAACACTGATGTTGACTGTTAAGGAGAGGAAAATCCCAAGTACCAAACAAGTCCATCCAATGCACAGAGTACAAATTCCTTTTTCAACAAAAAGTAGAAAAATCAAAAATACTCCCAAATGGGATTCTCGATGGCACTAAGAGTTAACACATTTCATAGTTGTCAAAATGTAGTGAAAATCCTCCAGACTGTACAACAAATGGAGAACAATTTCACTGCTAACTTTTGACGTGGTTTTTTTTTTTTTTTTTTTTTTTTCTTTTTCCAATCTTCATTCTTGGGGTTGGCCTGCCCAGACTTTCACTCCATGTCCTCATTTACTGGTTCATCTTCATAATCTCTGTCATGGTCAAAATCTGGACTGTGGTTGGCTGTTGTCACTAAAGACAGAGGCCCTTCAGCTTCCTCTGGATCGAGGGGCTCTTCTTTGACGTGTACAGGATGTCTAGAGAAACAAGAAAGGTTCAATGAGGATACTTCGCAGCCCAGTGCAATACAGGTGTTTGGGGCCAACAGAAAAGCCACACTCTAGAACTGCACCGTCCAATACAGTAGCCACCAGCCATGTGTGGCTCTTTAAATTAAAATGAATGAAAATTTAATACAACGTAAAATTCAACTGCACTAGCCTCATTTCGAGTGCTCAAGGGCTACATGTGGCTACCACACTGGACAGCGCAGAGATAGAGCACTGCCATTATCGTAGAAAGTTCTTTTGGACAGTGTTGCTCTAGAATGACAAAATCTCAGGACAGAGGCAGGCCTCTCCTCCCCAGTGGTGCTTCTCATACTTAAACGCGTATTCCAATCACCTTGTTAAATTGCAGTGTGTGATTCCGCAGGTCTGGGGCCTGAGACTCTGCATCTCTAACAAGCTCCCAGGTGATGCTGCTGGTCCTAGGACCACACTTTGAGTACCAGATAATAGGTCACGTAGTGGCACCCTGGGTGGATGAATACCGATCTTCAAATAATTACGTGAAGTAAGAATCGGTAATACAGCAGCGATTTGTGGGGACTGCTGAGCACGGGAGGCTGGCTTGCTGTGTGTTCTGCTTTGCTAGTTAACATGCAGAACCTGTGAAAGAACTCTCCAGAGGACGACCCCAAGTGAGGTTCTATCATTAATCAACTTCAAGCAAACACAGCAAAGAGACACCATGATACATGCCTGAAACTCCAAATTAATGCATATTTTTACAAACTGTCAATAAGGCAAGAAAAGCCCTGCCAGGAAACACAAACGGAGAGGAAAAGGCTCGCTCAACACAACAATATGATAAGAAAGCAGAGTCCCAATCAGAATAATAACGCTGTCAGCTGTAAACAAGGCAAAACATGAGGCCCGACTGGTAACGGCCACTGGGACGCGCGCGGCTGCGATGAGATCTGCCAACTTTCTCATTATGGCCCCGTGCATAGTTCACCCAAAGGGAACTGGGGTGATCACACAAAACCACTCCGATAACAACTGAGAAATGTTGTTCGTAAATCATATTTACAACTGATCCTTTGCAAATACAAATTACTTTCCATTGCAGGGCTTTTGATATGTAAAAGAACCATTCAAGTCCAAGAACAGTCCTGTCTCTGGGACAGGCTGCAGAAGAGAGGATTTTTTTAATTGACATTACCGAGTATTAGTAATAAGAGGCAGTAGTGGGGATGGCTGGCTTTCTAAATAATTGATGCTGTATGCAAACCCCAAAGGCCCCTTGAACCATTTAAAAACAAACAGAGGAGTGCTTTGGCTTGCCCTCGAAGACATGAACCTTCAAAATCAATTGACTCTAAAATTAGTACAGCGTAGAGAGAGTTTGGGGGGCTAGATGTCAGATAAATAGCTTTTTTAAAAAAGCACCATGCTCACATTCTTAAGAACTATTTGCAAAACAAAATACAGGAAAGTTGCATTACAGTACATTTTACATGTGACATTCCATCAATTTGTGAATTTTTAATGGTACTGTTTATCTGTTTCTAGAGTAAGACCCAGGTCTGGCTACATAATTTGCAGAGCCCAGTGTAAAATGAAAATGCAGAGTCCTTGGCTCAAAATTAAGAATTTCAAGACAGAAACAGCAGAGCGTGAAAACAAGCACAGCATCCTCGCAAACACAGGGCCCTGTGGGACTGCATGTGTCGCGTGCCTGTGAAGTCAGCCCTGGGGGGATCCCATACATGCTTTTAGGAAGAATTAGGTGTATTGATTATTATTCTTTAAAAAAAAAAAAAATCACCCTAATTAAGGTCAGATTTTTTTTGTTTTTGCCTTTCCATTTGGGATTATATTTTTACATGTTGGAAGCACAGCAGGAATACTGTTCTTTATTTTGCTAGCTTTACAGTTATAATTTTTACGGCCATATGAGATTCTACTGTGTTGACATATGTCAGTCCTTTAATACTGAGCATTTTGTGATTGTCTTTTTTCCCTCCCTTGTACTGTTGGTACAATACTGTAACCATTTTTATCCATTAATCTTTCTACTTCTGTTGATTTACCCCCTTAGGATAAATTTCTAAGAAGGGAATTGTTGGAGCAAAGGCCAAAACATCTTTATGGTTCTTATGATTTATTGTGATATCAATTTCCAAAGAGGCTATACCAATTTAGACTCAAACAAGCATTATTTTAAAAAAATATTTTGTTGTTTAGCAGGTTATATATAAGGTAAAGTCAGGTTACCTTAAATTGTGTTTCCTGGATTACTGACAACAGTTCTTCATGTTTTAGTTTCATATTTTTATTGTTGAGAATTGTTACCTTATAAATCACTCTGTCTCCACTGATTACATGGTTCTAGTAATGCCCATTGGATAGAAATCTGCCTGTCTTACTTAGCCATATATTGAGGATCAAATATTGTTTTCCAGATCAATATTTACCTTCTTTCATTTTTTTTAAACTACCAGATTTAGATGACAGAAGATAATATAAGGCTTTGAGGGGTAAGGGGGGAAGTTCAGGAACCCTAGAAGAAATAGAACATTCTTAATGAAGTTCTTGCTTCATAACTTTAGACTTTGACAAATGTTTTGCTAAGCTTAGCAAAAATAGGGGACCCCCCCCCCACCAAAACCAGATACATGTAAGGCCAACAAAACACAATTCACAACATGAGAGAATGTTTTTTCTGCTAAATTGGCAGCCAAAATTCTTTAAAATTATTTACTATCCCAAAGACACAGTAAATCTGTGTGTCAGCTGGCTTGATCCCAGTGCTTAACACCGAGTGGGCCCCCAACAAATTTTAACTGACTAGATCCAATGTGTGACAAACTGATAACACAACCAGGTTAGATATTAAGTCTTACAACTTCAGACAGATGAAATCCAATTTCAGGATATTTCTTGAGACTAGCAGATGCCCCTGGGTGTGGCAAACGTAGTCGTAGTTGCATACAGTGCTTTAGAGAATAAAAAAGAATGAACTTCCACGTAAGAGACATTTCAGGTAAGATGCAATCTGTTTAAGACACTATGCAGCTCACACCCCACAGCGTCTCCTACAAACTGGAGCTACATAACACATCTTCTTCCCCTTGCGGGGAGTGGGGGGCCCCCACCCCCTTCTCTCTCCAACACCTACTTCCGAAAGGGCTATCAATGAGTAACTGTGCAGAAGCACACATTTCCCTTCTTCTTACATCTGAGTAATTCCTTTGTTTAGCCACTCTGGGAACACAAGAGTTTTTACATAGAGCTGACTGGTGTTTAAAGGCACTGTGTTCGGGGGGGTGGGGGTGGGGTGTATGCACAGCATGGAGTATTTTGCTTTGTAGCTCCTTTAGCTCCTATCAGGATAAAAGTATAATACCCCAAAGCCATAATTATGTGACTACTTTCTACTGTTTCAAAAGAGAAAGGAAATGTATTGGTATTTGAGTGTCACAGAAAGGGTAAAGATGAAGAGTTCTGTTGCAACTAGGTAGTAGCTGGGCTGCCATCCTAACAAAGTCCTTTAAGCCTTGCCGTAAAGTTTACAGCTTGATTTATTCCAATAGACTGGAACAGTTAAAAAACAATTTGCATCACAGGGTAATGCATATTGGACAAGAATGAAAACTATGTCATTACAGAGTTCGCTTAATGGAAGTACGGGGTCAAAAAGAGTAACACTCTATGACACTGATAGGAGGCACACAGAATCTGCCGTTGATATAATTACATTTAGCAAACAGTGTAAACCTGTGAGATCTGAGCAACACATTTTGATGTCTTTATACAGGATTTCTTAAAAAACAAACAAACAAACAAACAGATGAAACGTTCACTTCATTAAAAATTACGATGACTGTAAGACATGATTTTCTGTAATACTGGGGTTAATTCAAAGTTGTGAAACGAATTATAGTGACTTTATTTTGTATAGCAAAATTAGCATCGCCCTAAACTTGTCTGTGAGGCTTTTATCCAAATACCTTTTTTTTTTTTTAAAAAAAGTGTTATTTTGTACTAAATAATAGGAATATACATGAACTAAATCTTGGAGTTGATACAGATGATGAGAACTAGTGTCTTTTCTATTCAATAACTTCAGACATTTTTGCTCTAATGAATATTTCTTGAAGTAGCTTATATAGCAATTTACATTTGCTCTGAACTTCCTCAATATCTGAGTAAATACTCCTGTCAAGACAATGATTTAAAGATGAATACAAGTGTGATAACAATAAAGTTAGAAACACCAGGTTGCTTTAGAAAGGATTAAATACGGCGGCATCAGTGTGAAAGATAAACACATTCTTAAAATGTTGTGAACTAAATGCTAAGAGACTGCTCATATAAATTAAAAATAATCATTTCCACCTTTAAAGATCCTTTTCAAAGCACTTTGGGCATGAAATTCAAATACTGGGAAAGCAAATTTCAGATATCCCCATACCCTCCAATTATGCTAGCAGATACCATTTTTTTCTTTGTCATTAGATGCCAATTCATTCTGTTTCTAATTGCTACAGGTCATATTTTCCATTCCTATCCCTCAGATTATCTTAAAATAAGATGTTGGTCAGTAATTCAGAAAGAATGTGTAGACAAGAGGCCTATTCTAAGAGCTGACAGTATTGCAAACATCAAATCGGTTTATTCCCTTAAAGTGGGCAACAGTTTTGCAGAAACTCACTGAGAGAGAGACTGTCATTCCACAGCAGCCCCCGCAAATCCAATAATTTGGAATAATGGGGTTTCTTCTCTCTGTTTTAGGACTTTTCCTGGGACAGAGGGGGATACTATAGTCACACCACTTTGCTCCCATCCCTCACCCACAGGGGCATCACAGCTTTGTGGCCTAGGCTTTTTCTGTGGCTTGCATGGTCCCAGTGCCATTCACATTCAGCATGGGCAACCATCGCCCGGCACTTCATTCAGTTATATGTACACTCATTATACTGCCGTCTGCTGCTATAATACTCCTATTAATTTTCCTTTTGATATTTTAAGAGCAATCTATAAATCATGCCGCCTTTCATTTGTGCCATCATTAATGCCTGGTAATAATGCCACAGCATTGCATTCGCAGTTAAGCTTATCACACAACCAAATAAACAAGCATCTTTTTCTCCCTGCTAGGTTCAGCATGCCTGAAAGTTGAACGAACTGCCAAATTTTTCATAGAGATGCCTGCTAATTTTAGGAAGAAAAAAAAAATAGTGTGGCTTAAATAATAGCCTGAGATGCAAAGCACAGAAAAAAGCAAACACGTTTCCCTTTTTTTTTGCTGTGTGTACTTGCAGGGCTGGTGAAGCTGATTGCTTTCATGGGAAAGTTAGTAAATGGTCCTTTTGTGCACTAACCGAGCTAAACATTTCTAGAAGCACAAACTTCTAGCTGGGTTCTGGGAAATGAGAAATTACAGAAAGGTATATAAAGAGGCCAGAGAAGGGCTTGTGTACCCATAAAACAGGGAGACAGGGGTTTGAAAGCCAAGACCTTTTGGGGGGACGATACTCACACGGCTTGCATAGGGGATCTGCCTGGACTGCTGTCACTCTCGTTGCTGTTGGTATGCTCCATTGCCCCATTCAGTTCTTCCCGTATTGCGCTGGCTAGGTTGCCCAGAGTGGGATTTCCCATGGAAGCGGTAGTGTATAGAGGTATACTATTCTCAGCAATCGAAGCCTGCCATCAACCAAACAGAGAGAAAACTTGTGAAGAACAAGGGTAGGTCAGACAAGGAAACTATTAATTATGGGCATACTTAAGGATCTTCAGTTTACATTCATTGCAGCATGGTTGGCAAATACAAGTTTCTAATAGGTGTAGAAGGATTTTGCTTTAAAAGTGATTTGTGGTGTATGTCCCAAGCTTGGTTTTGAAGAGCTAAATGGGAAGACCAAACTGCCCATGGGGAGGAAAAGAGTCAATTCAGTCCTGCTGGGTAGAGTCACATGGTTTAAATAAGGCTATCTAATATGAAGGTTGTGTCTGATGTCTTTTTTCAAGAAGAACTGAATATTTCCAGATCACAGTGAAATGTAATGGTATTTTCATTTCTTTATCCATTTTGATGACTCCACTATTGGATATAAGAGATTTGATCAGATCATTCTGGCCGCACTACTCAAATTTATGAGAACTTCCATAAACATTTAGCTCTTAGATCCTATAGAAAAGGAAGATTATAGAATTGGAGTCAATTTTTTATCTTCCCCTATCATTTCCGTTTTAATGATTTTTGAATCTGTTTAGTGTAGTTTGAGATAACTGGTTGAAGGTAACACCAAGCAATCTTTCAGACCACCACTTGGCATTTTAGGACTAAAGAAAAATCTCGGCAAAAGTAAGCTCAATCATATTTCTTTTTGGTGTCTAAGTACATTGATATTAAAGGTGACAAAGTCACTGCAAATGAGCGTCAGCAAAAAAGGGTAGAAATGAAAAACAAAGAAAATCCTAAACTCTATGGTAGGATACTGTTCACCTCTTAATCCTACTGCATTTGAATAAAATGGCCATGTAGTCTGAAATGCAGACAATGGTTAAAACATACACCACTGGACTATAGTATCCATATTTGTTTCATTTGGGTAGTGATTATGACCCAGTGACTTTTCATTTTATTAAAGAGGACAGACTTTCAAAAACTGGCAGCTGTAATTAGAACAAGATTTATCAAAACTGTCCCCTTGCAGACTACACTGTGCCTGGTTTTCCATCCTAATGAGAAAAAAGTACAATCACAAGACAATCTGGCATGACGACTTCAATTGGCCAGTCATACAAGAGTCCAAACTATTCTAGAAATCCTGGCTCTAAAGAGAAAGTAAGAGCCAAAAATGAAGAAAGAAAGAGTGTAAAGCTGGGCTGCAGGGAGTCTGCCTGTTATGGCAATTGCAGCCTCACATACTGTACAAACCCCAAAGCCAGAGATGCTTTCTAGACACAAGCCCTGGGTGAGACAACCTATATGCACTCACCTAACACAGCACTGGCCAAGGGACTATTTCAAAACTAGGCTGTCTGCAAGCCCACAGCTATTCCTTCCCTCTTTTGAATTTACATAACTGCCTTTTAAAAAGCGGGGGAGGGGGGGAATCCTGTTTTTATTTCCAAATGTGGTGAACTCATTTTGATAAACAGCAAGTCTGAACATTCCCCTCTCTCCTACAGTTTGTCAAATAATTTGTGTCAAGTACTTTTTTCAACAAATCTCTTCTAATTGTGATAAAGCATTCTTTCTTTTTAGGGCAGAGCAGTTGCCAGAATTATTGTTCTTTTTTTGCAAACTACAGCTGGCCCAGCATCGTCTGCCTTTATTTGAGATAACGCAGGGGTCACGCCTTAGTCATGGAAGTTCTGCGGGGACCATCAACTGAGCCTCTTCCCACTGGAAATACCACAAGATCGGCTCTCACAAAATAATTTCACTATTACAAGGTCAGAATACAGCAGAAGTGGGGCCACTGCTAGTTTCATATTTTGGTGGCTTCTCACATCAAAAATTGAGAAGACAAAATGGAAACGCCTATAAGGATGCACTCATCAAGATGAGTTGTTCATCCTATAAGCAGAGACACTTTCTTGGGATGAGAATTTATGCTCTTTGGTTCTCTAAGTATTTTAGATCAAGGCTATTTCTGATTGGGACTGGGTCACAGAACATGGGCTGAGGCCCAGCAGCCACAGAGGTGAAAGGAATCCAAAGGCAAGTGCTTGTACTGATCCCCTTGATTCTCGGACAAGAATGACATGAAGAAAACCAGGCTTGTCCCATTAAAGATCCTGGTGCTGGATCCACAACAGAGCCTCTTGAACACTCTTTGTTGAGCAAGTGATCACACAGGGTTAGTAAAATTTTCATCGGCTGCACATGCCTTTAAAGTGGCTCTTTTTTTTTGGTACTTGATGTCCACTTAGGAGCCGGTGTGCTATAATTTTTATAATGGACTTAATTATATAAATGATCCTGTACACAGTGTGTGGTGGTTTCATATCAAACTGATACCTCTGCCCAAAAAAAGGAGGTGCTTAAGTAATGGTGCAGAAGTCCATAAGTGCCATCGCTCCTGGAACATTAACCACTCTGAGATCTCGGAGAAAAGGCAGTCTATAAATATGAAGCTGTACGGTTACCCTTAGTTACTTCACTTTTTCAGAGCATAATGCAATCTGTCCCAAGTCCCATGTTTTATTTCTGTAGTGGATTCTGCTGTCCTATTTTATATATTGTATATCATGCATATGTTGCTCTAGTAATTTTTTAAAGATATTGTTCCACTATTATTTTTACTTGTCTTGAAAAATGGAAATGGGTGATAATGGAGAGGAAGGCCTGCTGGTAGAATCTTCAGTTTGCACAGTAGAAAGTTGTCTTGTGCACTGTGTACTGATCACGGATCCAAACTCATAGAGGAAAGGGAAATAATTTGCTTCTCAAATCATGACTTAATGTCAATTTATTTGCCTTGCCTCCTGATGGACATAAACTGCAGGGTAGTTTTGGGCTACCCCAGGATACAAAAAAGGGTACAGTGATGCCAAAAACAAATGTTTCAGAGATTAAATGTGAACAGTTCTGAAATGATAAAGCATACTAATTGAAATTAGTCACATAGTTAAGAGAATCCAGAGGAGAGAGGATCACTTTTTTTTTTTTTTTGCCTTTCCGCCTCATGAATGTAAAATGTGCTTGTAATCTTAATACTATTCCAGATAGAGCAGCCTTTAAATTCACACTTCATAAGACTCCAGGGAACATAACTTACTAATGAATGGTATTTACAGTGGCAGCATCTAAGCGTGCTTTCATTTACTTTTCTAAAGTTACTGTGTAAACTAGGAGTAATTAAAAGAAACGCAGAAAGTAGTTTCTCCTATTAAATTTGGTGCAGGCTAAAAAATAAATAAAGACAATTACTGAAATGCTAAGTTCAGTGAATCTGCCTCTGAATTGAAACTGTGTAAAAGGCACACAGCATCCATTCTCGGGAGCCGTGAGACTCTGCTGGAGACCCGGAACACAGTTCTGTAGGGCACAGAGTAGGTGCTCAATAAATGTTTGTTTAATGAATAGAGAGAACAGGAGCTCCCATTATCATCTCCTCTCCCATCCTGTTCCTGTAATGCCCAGGGTCTCAGCCATTTTGTCATTACTGTCCCTTTATAGACTTTTGTTTTGCTATTTGTGCCCTCACCCCAAGAAATCTTCATATCTGTTTTATGTATTATGCTTCTTTGGAAAGGCACAAGATATTGTAGTATCTAAGAACCGATTTTGGGGTGAGAGAGCCCCCACTGAGAACGCATGTTATAAAGGTCTACAATGGTATTAGATTACAAATGTCAGATTTATCTATAGAATATGTCATTTAAAGTTACCAAGATTCCCTTGGCCTGTCTTCTAGAACAGTCTGGGTAGAGTCAAAAACCACCAGGACCACTGGCCAAAAGGACACTGCCTATGTATAAACTCTTGAGAGGGACTCGAGAACTACATGCACGTACTTTAATGAAGTGATACTGGAATATTTTGCCAATTTAAGAGTTGCTTTAACTGAGAAATGCACTCAATAAATGGCTTGCTGGATGCCAGGGCTGCCCTGGTAGCTCATATTTGGGTGGTAATCTCCCTCCTGCTCAAAAGCAATGTCTTCACCCCTAGTATCGTTGGTGATGTAACAAGTGCTTGGTATGTCAGCAGGAAACAAACATTCTGCGTGATTATTATGTAATCTTGAACAATCTGCTGGAAACCTAGAGTTTTCCTAAACACCTCTCTTCCTTAAACAAAAACAGATTACTTTTACAAAGTGAACCGAACCCCGATCCTCCCCAGCCCCTCCCCCACCCCCGACAAAAGAAAAGATACTAAAATCGACTTTAAAAGAAGAAATACAAGCTCTGCTTTCTCTTTAAACCCGTGAACAATAGAAGGTCATGTGATGCAGTGGCCTATCATCCAGCACATTAATAGCTGTGCTAGAGTAATTACACTTGTGGTATTTTTGCCTCAAGTGAAATTCTGAAATAAGAGGATGGAAATTATGATACTGCTGATAAATATTAATAAGTGAACTTTTAATTTTTTTGCCACAATATTCAAAATGCTAAGCATCCTGCTAATGCTGAAGCAGCCCGATGTGTTTGCCTCCAGGGAGTACGATGCTTTGTGCACTTAAGAAAAAAGTTTAACGGAATTAAAATTTAATATCTAATTAGAGCGAGGCTAATATATTTTGAAACGAGCGGGGCAGACCTGTACCTCTGCTGCATATTGGGGACGGCCATTAATCTTACCTGCAAAGCTGCATTGAGAGGTGTGCAGTAGGCGTGGCTGCTCTGCATGTTTTTAATAAGGGAAGGGTTACTGTGTAAGAAAAAGATAAAAACTCAGAGTTAAAGGCAATCCACCCTCGAGGTCCTAGCTAAGTTTTGCTTTAAGCTTGCTGGTATCCTTCTAAATCAGAAATTTCCCCCATTAACAAAACCAAAGAAAAGTTAGGCTTTCTCTCTATGGTCTGCTTTGCAGGGCTGGTCTGTGTGAACACAACTGGGGACAGACTTGGGAACACCCTCTGGAGACCTCTCTGCAAATTTTTCATAGTTACCCCACTTCCAACAGGAAGGCAGCAGCCCGGGGTATGGAGCCGACAGCAGGGGTTCCTGGGAGTGAGTGGGAAGAATCCTGGTTCTTAACCATCTCCATGACTTGAAGTCTACAGTGACTGCTAGAGGGACAGCACGAAGGCTCTTAAGGAAGACCTCCAAGGCACATTTATTGCCAAAAGAAGATGGAGAGAAGGATATGTAGGGCAAGTAAGAGAGGTGGTTGGCTTGGTGTCTTTTCTTGTACAGCCAAATCTAGAGGGGAGCTGGGTGGTATGAGAATAGTTGATGCTGTCTCCATTAACTGATCGAATAGAGCCAAAATACCGTTTAAGAAAATCTCCACCCTAGTGAGAATAAAAATACTAAAAAGTTATATAGGACATATGAAAACAAGTGGCTTCCAGTAGGAAGTTACCTACATTTATCAGTGGCCTTTAAAGGAACTATAGGTGATTTATCAATTTCTTATGCTCGAACATTTTAACATTCATTTCATTACGTTTATCATATTGCTCTGAGTGAAAAAATAAGAAGGACTTTACCCCAGTAGAAACATATTTTTAACTCTAAACAAAAATTCCCTTTTTACTTGGAGGAATTCTGGGTCACACAAAAGTATTTAGTGATAGGGTCCCCGTAAGCTGCTGAACCAAAACACAACCAATATCTGCATTTCAGACGTCAAAAAAGCATTATTCAAGGCACTGGTGTTCCAAAGAGAAACAAGAGAAATACATGTACAAATCACACCATTCAGTTTCTTTGCAGAAAGCGGTGGCACTGCTACTTGGTGAAATGCACGACTACATGGGATGAGTCAACCATGCAAAGCCAAAGCAACGGCAGAAAAAAAAAACAAAAGCAAGTAAAGGCTCTTACTGTGCGACAAGCTCGTCAAAGTTTTCATCGGGGCAGTATTTGCGAGGACGGCCTCGTTGAATATGGCGGCCACGTTTAAACTCTTCATCATCAACTGTCCAAAAGGACCCAAACTCATCCTCTACTCTGATAAAGCACTTATGCAGTGAGAGGTTGGTGCGAATGGCACCCTGGGATAGGAGCAGCAGCAAAGGAGATGAAGTGGCAACAAAAGGAGACGGGGTTGGGGGCAGAACAGACATCCAATACAGGGAACAGGAGAAAGAAAATAAAATGCAATAAGCATAAGCCAATGGTTTGTGAGGGTTAATATGCATTGCCACCTAAAAGCTACTAGCATGGGATGCAACAAAGACCAGCAAGCAGGGCGGGGGGACTGGTGGGTATACAAAACAGAAGGGATGAAATGCTTTTTTGCTTCCCTTAACTGAGACAACGTGAAACCAGTTCTTTGGTCTAACACCATCTAGCAGCCAAAGCCTCTACATCATACTTGTTAGCACAATCCAAGCTAGGCTAAGAAGTTCAAACGTGGTGGACGTACCCACTGATCTTTTGTGGCCTTCGTTTTTGGAATTCTACTTCATCCACTGTCCATACTGCCCCTTTAACGTTTTCTACTCGCACAAAACACTTGTGGAGACTAAGATTATGACGCACTGCATTCTGCAGCAAGTATAAAAGAGAGAACATTTACATTTTCTATAAGAAAAGACTCCAAAAACAGCAGTAAATTCAGCCTAACCGCCCACATTTGTAAAACCATCCCCAAGAACTATAGCAACCACCCCCGTGGATGACCTTCTTGTGGTTAAGGATGTCTTTTCCAAAAGCAAAAATAAAAAACCAAAATTGTGAATTAATTGCACTTTGGTATTTTAGTCTAGTCCCTGGTAATATCTAACCAAAAGAAATATTTTTTAATATGCATACAATCCCAAAATAGGTTCCACAATACAAATGTGAAAATATTGTTACTATGACTTCAAAATAAGGAAACATGTAAAGCATAAAACTGTCCCCTTTAAACCAGTCTACCTCCCGTAAAAAAAGTTTGGTTTTTTTGTGTTTTTTTTTTAACATGAAAGATGAAAACTTGGCTAATATTGTTAAATACAGGACAGTTTCTGGCTGTAAAAACTTCCATGGGTTTTATTAAGAAGAATTCTAAATTGGATTTTACCATTGAGAGTATCACCTCATGTAGCCAACAGGATCAAAGGGGTAAACTGACGCCCAAGGGATAAATATCCACCATCAAGCTATGTCTTACCTTCCTGAATATATTGCAAGTTGGTCCTTATTATGGGCAAGTACCTTAATTCCCTGAGTTAATGGCAAAGGAACATGAGTAGAAGTCTCAATGGCAAAATGATTATACTCCTGCAGTTGATAGTTTCTATAGACACATGTTTCTTATGGTTAAAAATCATTTCTGGTCATTCCTAAACTGAGACCCTTAACATCCATAATCCATCAAAAAGGAGGATCTCAACTCAGGGGTGAAGAGCTTTTAACAGCTCATCTTTCCATGAGTTTCAGAAAAACCCACAACCCTTCCTGCATACAGTAACAAGCCTGGCTTCATTTCTTTAGTCCTGCCCAGTTGAACTTACTGATCCAGACTCAATCTTGGACATGAGGATATTTTAAAGAGACCTATGTCATCTTCTTATGCAGGATAAGGAGGTGACTCAATCGGGGCACAAGAAGTGGAAGCATACAGGACACCTCAATACCTCGTCAGCCCCACTCGGTTCTAATAATGCTGCTACTGCTCAAACGTTCCTCACCCCTCCCCTCCCACCCCCTGTAGTATTTCCTCCCTGAATTATACTTAAAGGTGGCAAATCTTGAGACTCGGAGAAGTGTTTCAATTTTTGGACAATCATTATTGATGACTCTGTGAGGATTCAAGCTACAAATAATTTTTCTTCTCTGATGTGGAATATTTAGAAGATAATGAGACAAGTTTGATCACATGGTATGCTGAACTGCTAGCAAGGAGAATTCACAGGATAAATTCCCAAAGAGTTTCTGAGTAACGTCAGCATAACTGGGGTAGGTTTGCCTACCAAAGGGCACCACTGATTCAAAAAGTTTGATGGGTCTGCTTAAGAACAAAACAAAACCAAAATCTCTATACTAAAACCATGTGGCATATTATAGCTATGCTTCGTAAGACAAACATCTTTGCATATAAATTGTAGCCTAGCCTTTAAGCATTTTTTTTTATATTGCACAAAGGCATACTATAGGATGCAGAAGTCTACTGTTATCTTCTAGAACAACACTGAAGAGATATAAATAAATAAAGCCAAATACCCTTTAAAAATATAAGCAGAGCATATATACATATAGGAAATATAACTGGGAAAGAAATCAACATTGCTCCTAATCATTGTCTGATGTTTTACAGTAAGTATCAAAATGTACAGAACTGACTGAGCTAAGAAGCTCCTTCTCATAAAAGGATTTCTGTAGATCTGGCTGGACAATATATCCATATAAGATTCAGAATTAAAACTTAAGTTTTGTTTGCCAAGACTGCACATCTAAGCAGAAAGCAACTAGACATCAAGAGTTTTTAAAAAGGTGAGTAAGCAGTTTTCTGTCACAACTTTAACTGGGCATTTCATCTTTTGTCTAAGATCCCAGTACAAATAAGGACACGTAGAGAAAATTATACGTATTTATGAGTCATTAAGTACTTCATCTAGGGTTGTTTATATTAATGACACTTTTTCCTGCAGTTTGCAAAAATGGCAAAGTTAAATCTGAAGATCTGAGCTTAAGTGTTCTATTCACAACTGGTAAATATTTTTAAATTTGATCATTTGCTATTTATAAAAGGCAATCTGAAGAAAATGTCTGCCTCATGCTTCTACTTCCTAAATTATTAAAAGCATTCACAGCTAAAGATCCTTTGTATTTTATCTCCCAAGGCAGGCTGAGGAAAAGGTAAAGTTTTGAACATAGGTTTCCTTCAGCACCCGTGTGTTTTACTGGAAATAAAAGGATAATTTAGGCTGTAAAAGATATTCACAACTCTGTAAAGTTGATGAATTAATTCTGGTTATATTCGTTTTCTTTTAAAATGACAATTTATCAAGAACTTGAGGAAATGTGTTTTCTGTTTTTGCTTTTATGTTTCTCCCATACAAAATTAAGGAAGCAGCAAGGAAGGCATTTATTTCAAGCAAAGCAAATTTTCCTTGCATCTTGCAATAAAATCCCTATCATATTTACATTAATGACATACAAAAATATCCTGAAATGTTTGCCTTAAATGCTTCTAAATGTTTTGGAGCTTAGGGATTATAGGAATCCATGTATTAAAAACAAAAATATAAAAGTCAGAGTGCACCAGCCCTCTTCTATAAGCAAGGATATCAGACACTATCAAATTAAATCGGGAAAGTCCAAAAACTTCTGAGGGCTTAATTTAATCTAATGGAATAAGTACCAATAGAATCTATGAACCAACTGCTGAACTGGGAATGAAGTATGTCATATGTTGAGGACATCCAACATGGAGCTATGGAATTTGACCTGTTTTATTGCAAATGGTGTTAAAATAAAGTCCACAATTCAGAAGCTACTTATCTTCCTCAGGGTATCTATGAACCTCTTAGGGTCAATCTCTTGACTTCAAAACAAAACAAATAAAAACTTACTACATTGTGTTCTGCTGTAATAACTCCCATATACAATACTAGTACTTAGATTGCACAGCTTTCTTCACTAACAGGGTTAATGGGCACTTATCCAACCAACAAAGGTTGTATCAAGTGTGTCTGGTCATTTCTGCAGGTTCCTAATGGTAATAAAAAAGTTATCTCTGCAAATACTGGCATGAAGTTTGTGTAAGTTATAGAACAACCTCAACACGTGGGCAATGGTGTCATCTCCTTTTCCTACGTGTTCCAACCAGAGAGGCATGATTTGACTGGTTGGCCCATCCACATATCTGAAGCCAGTGTAATGGGAGTCTTCCATCCAAGCATTTCAACCACAATGGAACTATTTTCCCAATTAGATATTCCTATATATTGGACACTTTGAGTGTGTCCAAACAATATAAATATAACTTTCTTGTAGCACAACTGAATTTTATCAACAATAAACTCTGTTCTATAAATGTCAAGGTCCACTACTACGCAGGCCTGAGGGAAGGCTTACCTTCCACGTGGCTGCATTGCGTCGGAAGTAAGCAAACATTCGTGTGAACCAGTTATAGATTTCATTTAGTGTTAGCTGCTTTTCTGGAGATTCGAGAATGGCCTGTAAAACAAAAAGTAACCGAAGAAGATAAATTATGACCAAATCAGCAGAATCATCATTATACAGTTTCTTGAAAATATAAAATAACTGATTCAGAGCTCAATCCTAAGAAAGGTTTCACAAAATGATCTAAGATTAATGGTTGTATTTAACAGTTCAATAGCAAAATTCAAAATGGAATTATCTAATTGTTTTGAGTTTTTATTTCTGTTTCCGTACAGAAATATTAATTTATTAGTCATTCATAAAGCAGAATCAAAGAGAAATGCAAAACATTTCACTAGCTGATTAAAGCTCAGTAATTATTTAGAGCTCAGATTAATTCTAGGGATCAGAGATTACTGTAGCTTGTGATAATTGACTTGCCATCTTTAAACAGGCTCATTTTCACTGTTGTGTGAAATGAATTTCCTAATAATCACATCGTATTGTAATACTTAATCAAAAGCAATTATGTTATATATTGCAGTTTTAAAAAACCTTATAGAAAAGGTTTTAGCATGCTTGCATACTAAACGGTTTTAAATCTACTTCATCAATATAATATATCCATGTACGTGTATACCTTTTGATATAATTTCATATACTGTGTTATTTACTTACCTGCCTAATTAAAGATGCATATGTAAATGGTGGTCTAACTTCTGCGTTCTTATAAAATTCTTGGTTCTGCGCAATATCTGCTAAATAAGAATCATTGTCCTATTAATTATCACTTTTTAAAAAGGGGCTGGTCTATAAGAATTGCAGATTACAATTCTACATGAAGCAAAAATGGAGTATCTACCTGAAGAAATGGGCACATTGTATTTGTCTGAGTACCGCCTGCGGATGGGTCCCACCGTGTGCATGCTGGTGGTGGTGATGACAGAGGGGCCTTGGGTGACGGGAGTCAGGGGCGCAGTTGGGGTCGTTGGAGTATGAGGTAAGCTCTGTGGAGAAGCCTCCGATGCAGACTTGGAGAGAGTGACACTTGATACCAGATTCAGCTGTGAAGAAAAGCACCCATCTTAGAAGACCTTCAGGAAAACAGAGCAACCAAGAAAGCATCTCACATCCACCGGGGATGCCTGGTTAATGTTATTTCTCTGAACGGATATGTTTATAATCAACTGAAATACGATGTGAGTTCCTGTGTAAAAAAAACAAGTCACTTAGTATTTAGTATAAGAGATCTCCTTTTCTTTCCATGAGACAGGTGTTTTCCAAAGGCTGCTAAATGGGTGTTTACAGACACAAAAATGGGTTACCTGGCCAAGTGAGTTTCAGAAATTCTGGGTCAAGACATGTTTTTAATCATAACGTCTCACCCTGTATAACAGCCTGCTATACCTTGTAAACCTCACAGAAGAAGATGGGAGTCCTTAGTGGCACCAGTGAAGATGAACATTTTAGGGAAAACCAGTTGAAATACATTGATGTAGATCTGAGCTGTCCAACTGAACCTTCTGCAAAATGGTAGCACAACTGAATTTTTATGAAAATTGAAATTTTACTTAATTTTAATGAATTTAAATGTAAATAGTCCCATGTGGCTAGTAGCTACCATACTGAACAGTGCAGGGAGATGCTGCTCATTTCCATCATGAAACTTCATGGACGATGGGAACTACTGCAAATACGCTTGGCCTTTGGCTCATAATAAAAAGAGCGGCACTGATCCAGTGAGCCATCATTTATTTCTATCAGTTGGCAGAGACAAATCTTTAAGAGCTGTATGGGTAATCTACATTAAACTCTATCAAATATAGGACTGGGATCTATTCATCTTAAAAGAATATGACAGATGAGAGATCTGGAACTGTAATATTTTTGTTGATTTTGCTTTTTCTTCAAGTTTCAAACATTCCATAAAATGGAATAATCTATTGGTTCAAGTAAGGAAATGAATATTATTTATTTGAAGTAGTATAGAGGAAAATGAATGAGTACTATTTTGACTTATTTTGTCTATCTATATCTTACCTTCATCATGAAGTGCTGTTCTTATAAATACTGGAAGGGACAACCCTTTCCCAAAATTTGTTGGAGGAGAAATATTATTTTAAGCCTGGCAAGGCTGAAGAATTGGTTGTTTTCAGCATATTTATTACCTTTACACAGAACTATCTCAGATACATACAGCTGCCCCCAAATCCAAGAAACTTCAGCAAAGTAGGCTTACTTGGTAACATTTTCTTAAGCCAGATTGCGAATCACTTACCATAATAAGTCTATTTCACCATCGCTATAGTCAGTCTTAAGTACAAGGCATTATTTGTGCATAAAAATGTGATTCCTCTGAGATCATAGTCAAAGAACATATTAAAAGAGAGCTCCAATTTGTTGAGAAGATTCAACCTTTACTCATACTTTAGTAATAAAAAAGGCCATGAGAATCCTCTCTAATATGTGTAGGGGAGTTCCATAAAAAATAAATGAATCTGAAGAAAAGAAGGATTAAATTTCGTTGAAGAAACACTAATGGAAAAACATAAACATGGTGTTGAAAACTGGATGTTCGGTTGGGAGCTTTTAGTTCTGCTTTCCTTTTAATTTTCAGCTTGAAATGTTGACTCAGCAAACAAGAGATCCCAATGTCTGAGAAGAGCAGGCTATGGAGATGGCACTGCCCTTACGAATCCCTCAGCAAGCTGGGCAGATGCTGGGAGTTGCTCTTTCAGTAGTGTTGGGAACTTGACTTTATGACATACATTTGCAAACTAAGTGCTGGCTGTTTGAGCCATGGGATGGAGCAGAACCAAGAAGCCAAGAGGGAAGAGTTGGGACTGACCTCTTCTTCGCCTTGGGCCTTAATCACTGACCAAGTCCAGGAACAGTATGTTTAAACATCAGACCAAGCAAAGGGTCAAGGAAATTAGTGTGTGAAAGGCTAAAGCTCATAAATACACACTTTTTATCATTCAGATGCTGCTAAACCTAAGAATATCAGAACACTTTGGAAAGTCATGGAGAACATTTATAAAAATCATGTTTTAAACCACCTGTCACTGTGTGGTTTCATTTAATTCTCATACCACCACTAATATATGAAATATTATTACTCATATTTTACAGATAAGCAAACGGAGGCTTGGAAAGATTAAACAATTTCCCCATATTTCCAACCTGGACCCGAAGTCAAACCACACACTTGTATGATTCTAGACACTTTGTATAATCTTCCTATGCCTAGCTAATGGGAAAAGTAAACCAGTTTCATTTTTCTGTATGCTCATTTTTGGAAAGGATTCAGTGATTAGCTTTTACCCCCGCTTATCAATGACATTCAATAAATATTACTGAGCAAATATAAAGCAGTTGGTTCTGTAACAACAGAACCAGGAATAAAACGTGTAACTACTGCCCTTGAAGAGCTTACCATCGAATGCAAACTTTGGTCAAAAGCAACATACACAATAACCCTAAAACAATTCTGAGGACTACCACTACTTTTTGCCTTCTCTATTCAGTTTAAAAACATTACTCTAAACATTGTGGCTTTCTTAAAAACATAACAAAAATTATAAACACAAATGTCCTTAAGAAATATGCATGCTCCTTTACAGTTTTGTTAGGGAGATCACCAAGTCCACTGGGTTCTGGTTTAATTGTCAAAAATCAAAACTCATGTAAACAGTCAGCAAGTGCAAGCCCATCATTCTGGGTGCTCATATTGAAGAAGAGTAGACAAATCCCACAGAAAAATATCATCAAATGAGAAAAGAATTTGACTCTTGTAGATTTTACAAAGGTCGTAACTCTTGGACTATTTCTACCAAGAATAAAATCCCTCCAGGTTAGCCCCATCCATGAAGAAAGAGACGCAGGTAGTATCTTCTGGAGTCCTTTGAACATAGCAAATAGAAATAAACACTGAGCTAGAAGAGAGCTGAGAGGAGGCTCACCAGGCTTGACGAACGACACCGTGATTCACACCCACTGCTGGGCAGTCTCTAATAAGCCACAGAGGAAGCAGCCAATCTCAGCTAATTACCAGATAAAAATGTATTGCAAGGACTCTAATTAGGAGATGCGGATGGAGGTGATATAATGATTAAATGCTGCATTCGAGTGACCCCACCGTCAATGTGCAGTGGTGCAAGATGTTGCTGAAATATTTTGTAGAAACAGTAATTTTATTTCGAGGAGGGGACGCAGTAATATTTGTAATGATGGCAATGAGGTAAACTAATTAAAAGACAGTTCCTAGAGGAAGAGGGTGGCTGAGAGCAGCTGTGGCCATTCCAAAACCAAGTGCCAAGTCTCAATAGAGGAGTGGCAGTCAAGTGGAAAATTTCTGTCTGACCTCTGCCCTTGCTATTAATTTGCAGGAAAAACTAATGACACATATACATATTCCCACAAAATTGTTCTAATTGCTAATTTGCCAAAGGAGCCCAGATTCCAAATTAAACATGACTGTAGCCTGTGAGGGAAAGAAGAACAGAAAGCTGCAGACTCCAAACAGAGGGTGCTTTGCCACACAAAATCATTTGACGGCTGAACCAACAAGTTAATGAAATGTCAACCTTGTCAACTGCTATAGAAGTTTCTTAACTTTTAAACTTTTGTTGGATGGTCACATGCTTGTCTTGAGGAGAAACCATCTCCGAAGGGGAAGGTCCTGAGAGAGATAGGGAGAGGGAGGACGAAGGTGGAGAGAGGAAGGATTCAAAGCAGGCTCTATGTTCAAACCAAACCTGCTCTTTTAATTAAGGTCTCTCTGGAAAAAAAAGGGGGGGAATAAAAAAAAATTAATTACAGACTTGGAACAGAAGAGCAAATTGGGAACGGTGTGGGTTTTGCTGTAATCTTGAAATATTCATCTTAATTGTCAACTATTAAATCTTAATATAATCATCAATTAGAAATGAAAGCATATGTGCTTCGTGTTTCTGATTGCAGTTAAGGATTTAAAACATAATTTTTTCCGGGGCATGGAGCAGGAAGGGATCGGACTGGGAGGGTTTCTTTTCCTGATGGAAAACCTATTCTTCTTATAGTGTTCATTTTCTATTTAAAAAGAAGTTGCTATGTTTAGAAAAGTTAGTAACTCTGATATTTTCTACATGGCAAGTTTCCATCATGTGATGATTTCAGCAAAGATAATCTCTTTGAAACTCTGGCCAAAAAGTGAAATTCTTATGTCACTTAAAATTGCTGTAGGGTTTTATTTTTTAAATTTCCCTGTGCTCTCAGGCAACCACTTTTCCCTCAACTGGGTTACAGAGGACTATCCTGGAAATCTTTAGCCGTTGAAACTATTTGAATTCTATCAGCTACTCGATATTCTGCTTAGTGCTTTTTTTAAAAAAAATAATCTTTAGTTTTAAACAGTAATGTCCTCTCCCACTTAAAGATGATGAGTCACTCGCATTTAAAAAAAAATAAACAAACCGCTGATGTAAACCTGAGACAGAAACAGACTTGTCGTAAGTATTCCCATAAGAACTCATTTTTATTTTTGTTTGTGCTCTTGCCTCACATGAAAACAGATTCTGAGAACAAAAGATCAACCTGAAACCAAAACACCAAGGGACACCACTGCATAGCAGGGACCTTTGGGCTCACAGAACTTGTTTTTCTGCTGTTGGTTTTACTGGCCGAGCGGGCTTAAGCCCTGCTTTAACTGCATGGGGACGTTTCTAGGCATGCATCACTCAAGGTCAGGGATGGCCTTTCTGAGGCTGGAGGGACATTACCAGACCGTGGGGAGGGAGGGCAGGACAGTGGAAGGCAGCGGGCGGCCTCTGTCACAAGCCTCTGTTCTCCTTCACCATCTCAGCCTAGGCTTGTTTTAGAGATGGGTGCTCGCAGAGAGCAGTGACTTCGAAGGTGGTGTTACTGGCAGGGATACGAAAAACACAAATACAAAACCTGAGCTGAGTTCAGGAGGGAGGGCCTTCATAAAAAACAGTACATAAAACAGCTTTTGTGTGTTGTGCTTGAGAATCCCTTTTTATGACTGCCTAATATTATTTCTCCAACTCTAAAGCAAGGTCCCCGCAGCCCAAATGATCAGCCACTCCTTGAAGAGTTAAACTCTTTTTCCAGAGGGGGACACTTTGTTTTTATAGTAGCTAAAAACTATTTCAAAACAGTCCTAATTGCTATGGTTAGAGTCAAAGAAAATGTGCAAAAAGGAAAATCTAATACTGCATTTCATTCCAAATATTCAAGTTCCTGTAAGTGTTTTATAATATTTTCATAAAGATATATTACCTACACCATAATTACGTGCCCACCGAATCATAAAGAATGTGGTTTCTGCAGGATCAGAAGTTGTTCTCTGATGTGCAGGAAAATACCCTAAAGCAAAGCGTACCTCTCATGTACTCAGTATTATAAAATATGATTTACAGTGTTTACCTGACGTAATGATAGATAGCATAAAATCTTTTTAAGAAATCCTTAACAACTTAATAAGAACTTGAAAAACCAGACATGTTTTTTGTTGTTGTTGTTATTTTGTCTTCTGAATTATGCCCCCCTCCCCTCTAAGGAAATCCCTCAGCAAATTCTCCATGAAATAGGCATGCAGACATTAACCTCCAAGCAGTACATTCTGGTGTTTACTTTCAGAATGTTACTGAGTTTGGAAGAAAAGAGTATCAATCGTTTTCATTAAGGCACTTTACCATTGCCTGTTTTTTGCTTCTCTTTCTTTGGAAAAGAGAAGAATCTTGTAAAACTTAAAATACAACAAATTTAGCCATTCTACGTATGTCAAGAACTGCTTTTCCATTCTATGTACCCAACTGCTAGAAGTTACAGCAGCTCTGGTAAGCTTTCACATATCCTTTTGCGCATGCAGGGCCCAGCTTTAACAACAATAAAAGTATGGAAAGCTGATCTTAGCTGATGTTGGCTATTCCTTTGCTCCCTCCACACGGATCCTCATTACCCACCTTCCTCCCCCAGCTCTCTTTCTCAGAGAGATACAGATATGGGCACCACTCTTAATCCAAAGAAATATCCATGAAGCTGACTTCTTATCCCTTCTTCCTATTCATGCTTTAAGTTTCAGCTGAGATATCACTTCTCTCAGAAGTCTTCCTCAACACCCACCACTCTAGATCAGTTGTCCTACTTACATGCAGCACAACTCATGCAGTGAGAGTATGTGTGTTTGTGCAGTTAGTTTGTTCCACAAGACTCCAGACACCTCAATGGCAGGGACGGGTCTCTCTGGTTTGACTACTCTATGTTCAGTATGCAGCACGCTCAACACGTATTTGTTGACAAAATAGTTTGATTTTAAATACAGGAATTCCCTTTCCAAAAACAACTTGCACTTTGAGTCTTGGGTATATTTCTTAAAAAAAAAAAAAAGAAAAAAAGTTTTTTTAAGGGTTAGAAGATGTGATGGCAAACAGGAAGAGCTGCTATTAAGGAAGTCCAAGAGATAGGAAGACTGTGAACTCCTATTCCAGTTCACCCACACATTTTCTTCCCAGTGTAGGTCAAGCTCAGATCCAGGTCTAAAAGCTTGGGCACCATCCCGAGATGAGCATATCCAAATCTGAAGATGAGTTCCACCGCAGGATCCAGAAAATGTGTCTATGAGTTGACATAGGAACAATCTAAGAATGTTTTGGCAGTTTCTTTGATGCAATGAAATGAGAACTGGTTGAATGATTGGATATAACAAATGACTCTTAACCACCCAAATGGCATTTAGTGAAAAGCAACATTTACAGCAAAGCATTCTATCACTTAGTGACTAAGAATTTTAAAATAAACATGAGGTTCCTTTTAAACAGAAATGGAAAAAGGAAAAAACTTCATAAACTTACTGGCAAGGTTGTAGTCCCCATCTATGGTTAGATTTGAATCCCAGTGACTGCTGGTTTCAAATCAAAGATTCTAGAAGGATACTCACTTGAGCACAGACCATGCATTCTACTATGTAGGCTGGAATAAATTAATTATAGGCTACAGAGAGTATTTTGTACATTAGAATAAGTCACCAGATAGCTCTGGGTCCCTAAAGTTGAAAGCATCAAGGGTTTGCTGTATGTATGGGCCTTTTTTTTTTTTTGGCAAAGAAGTGAAAATTTATGCAAACATTACACGTCTACCTTTTATAATTAATTTCCCAATGCCTCACCTATACATATTTTAATAATTCCTGATTTATAAGATGGTATCTATAATAAAATTTTCTATTTTCCAATAAATGAAAAGAAGGCAGGTTCACTCCGACAACAGAGTGTCACACAATATCTGCTTGTCAGGCACAATTTTTACTTCTTACATGTAAGTTAAAGGATAAGGAATTTATAATGCTGCCTGTGAAGAGAGCCACTTTTCATACACAAATGTGATCTTTTTTTTTTTTTCCAAAGGGTAATACAACAGTACATTTACATAAACTAATCCAAACAATCTATGTATTTGACAATGGCAAACCTCACACAGACGGCCTATTGTTGGTTTACATCTTGGAGTTCTTTATATTGGCTTGTAGCGCTGCTCTAGCTGTCAAAGGTTTGACTTGGACTCTAAATAAACGGTTATAGAAGTGCTGTGCAGCGATATTGGACTTCTTTGCAAAAGAAAACCTGCTGTGTATGAATTCAAAAGCTATTAATTTTTCAGTCAAAAATATTCGTGCCTATTTCTTTTAATAAAGAAATACTGTGCTGAGCTACTAAGAGATAATGTTGACTAGTGGTAGAGAATTTTCAATAGAGCAGTTAAAAATAAATTTAGTAGGAGGTCCCCTTCAAAGTTATAATTTTCTAGAATGTAAAACATTTTTTTAAACTAATCAAGACAAACCTTCCTTCCCTGTTCATTTCCCCCCACGGCTGCTTTTCCCTGTTTATTGGCTGCTTAACACTGGTCCATGTGGCGATTCCCAATGGCCTTCTGTGGCCTGTGTGGGCTCACACTCACATATATGGCGCACCCTGCCAAGTCCTAGCTCTATCACTTGTAGAGCTCCCTTCAGGGTTTTGCCGTTCCTTCTCTTTAGTCTCCTCCTCCCAAGGAGCCCCAAGATCCACCATAAGTCCATTCCTAGAGTGCTGAGTCCAACCATTATTCTACCATTGCTGCTTTTAATCCATGGAAGAAGTAGGAGATCATCTCATTCTCTCCCTTGTTGCCAGATGTAAAGACTTGAACCATTTCTCCTGGGGAAAACCGTTTTGCTAAAGCCATCTGAAGACTTTCAGAGAGCTCCAAGGCAATTGTTACCCTCTGCAATGGGCGATGCCTATTCGAGAAGTCAGCCACATCATTTCAGGGTCTCAGCAATTAGTTTAGCTGCATTCATGTTCTTCTCAGTATCCTCCTTAAAAGGAGGAGTTATTAGGAATAGCACAGTTGACTACTGAGATTCCACAATACTAAATGGCCTGGGGTTTTCCCCCCTTTCTCTTTGATAACCTATATATCCAGTCCTAAAGCCATTTACTGTAAAATACATGGAAACTAAGGACTCTTTCCTAGTAAAAATGGATGCGCAAAGTGTTTAATGATTTTATGTCCTATATCTCAGTAATGTGTTCTGTTTCAGACATTAATTTTGTCTGCCAACTGCATCTTGGCAGGCTACCATATTTGCTGGGTTAATAGTCTGACTCCGTTTTATTTCTATCACCATAAATCATACATATATGGGTGTATGTTTGCTTTATTTAGAGAAAAAAATCAGTCAAAACAGATAAACCAATACTTTGCCATTATGCTGCATCATTGCATATTGATTAAAATTGCTGGTACTAACTATAGATTGTCAACGCTCAATTAATTTTCACACAGTGACTCCAAGCAAAATCAAATAAAGGCAGTGTACCTTTAAATTTTACAAATCTTAAAATCAAGAAGCAAAGCACTGTCTCCATTTTGAATAATCAGTTAAAGCTACTAGGAGATTTTCAGAAATATAAGTATATGAGAAATACAACTATTAAAGAGATCAATTTATTACAAGAAATGAGGTCCAAGACAGAATTTTGGGCTTAGCCACCATCCTCTTGCTTTGATATTTATTGCCTGTGCTGGGATGGTACCCTTCAAGGTCCAGTAAAACGGAACAAGGCAAGAAATAGGAGATTCCTAAAAATTAAATGTAATTCCAGTGTACCATGTTTGGTCTCCTAACTGTGAAGGAGTAATTTTCACTTCGAACTCCTTAGGTGCTCTCCATAATTTAGCCTCCATTCCAACAGTGTGTTTCCTATTTCTTTCCTCTGTAACTGTCAGACTGGACTATTCCTTGCTACTTTTTTCCTGCACCCTCTCTTGGCTTAACCAGGCTGATGTGTTTCTTTCTTGTGCTGTCATAGTCTGCCTACCTTCTCTGTGTTCCTACCATTCAGAAAGATTTTCTCTTTCCAGTGAGCTCTCATAATGTATTTCAGTACCCTGCTTTAGTACCAATTATTCTGTCCCAAAGAAGAGCTGCTTGCTTGGGCCTCATGAGCAAAGACTACATCTGAATCATCTTGTATTTTCCCAAATGCCTAGCACACAGCCTTCATCATGAAAGGTGACCAGAAACAGTCGATTAAACTTAAGGCCTTCGACACTTAAATCCGCCACAGTAGTCAGTCCTCCTTCCTACGCTTGGGGTTGGGAAGAAGAGAAAGAATACTGTAAGTTTCACCTTATTTTTTCCCATTGGTGTGGATAAGTACTTACGGGCTGAGGGGCGGCTTTGGGTTCTGTAGATTTCACATGCAGATGGGTCATCATGGCTTGCAGGCGCTCTTTGTCTTTTGCAAGCTAGTAGGAAGAAAATGCTTTGTTATTTCTCTGAATACAGATGCATGACTATTTTAAGACCCCAAATGACACATATTCCAAATTAAACTATGGCACCATAGCACATACAAAATTGTTTTCATTGCTTAATCGTTTTTGAAATCTCTATGACCACTGCCAACTCCAGGTGACTGGAGGTGTTAGTGTAAGATTTCTCAACACAAGGTGTATTAGACTTTAACTAGGAAGTTCTAGACCTGCTGGCACCAAGGAGTCCCATGTAACACAGACAGCTAAAAGACAAATGTGAATCATGCCTATTAACCAATCTTATTCATGAGGAAGCCAAAAGAAAATGAGCTAGGTAGCTAAAACTCATAAATTCATCTGTTGTGGTTGTGGAAAACTTAGACAGATGGATATATTTATTTGAAATTAGCTTCATCTTTCTTAACAGGTAGGCATGGATTAAAACAGTGATGGCAAGTGATATATACAGGGCAGGAGCAGGCTACAAGGGTGGACAGTTTCCCATTTTCAAATGAATGCAGAATAAGCTTCCTCGTTCATATATTCAATATTTGAGCACTTGCTATGTGCTAATCTCATCTCAATAATTTAAGTCTCCTCATTCTAGAAAAAAATTATCTTCCTAAGTCACAAGAATTTCTAATTGGATGTGCATAGTAGGCACTCAAATACTTATTGGATGCTACATTCTTGATGCTTGCTTCGGATTGTTTTAACAGAGTATTTTCAATAGTTCAAGACAGTTGGGCACAGGGGAACGTATAACGATTACTTCTGTAAAAGAAGGGGGAGATACATCCCCAGAAGAGAACAGCTGTGGCATTTAGGGAAAATGGAGAAGAGATGAGTGAGTGAGAGAGGGAAAGAGAACGAATACATACAGTTTTATTTCAATACTTCTATACAAATTTTGTCCAAAATAATGCCTCAGAACTGGGGAGGGACTCATTCCTTCTATGTCACATAACTAACATCACATCAATTTTTTGCAAGTCTAAAATTATTCCAAAATAAAATTTATTTTCTAAGGGGCTCAGGAATTGGGGGAAGGCAGAGGAAAGGAAAAGGGTCAAAAGGAGAAGAGAAAAAGCTTTTGGCTTATCCTAACTGGATGACTCAGTCTCAAGCCATATCTCATTTGATTTTTTTTCTTTTTATTCCCTTGTGGTTCTGGCAAGAATAAATTAACAAAAGGGAAAAAAAAAAAGCCTTACAGTGTTAGCATTTATCTTTCAGCAAACAGGAAATGAAAATGATACCATATTAGGAGTCACTTTATGTTTTCATCCTCTGCTCTTCAGTAAGTTATTGAATAGCCAAACTGAGAAATTCTCTGAGCACATAATGCTAAAGGAATTTAGTTTTCCAAAGTGGCTCCTCAGAACAATTAAAATGTTGGGAATGGCATTTTTCACAGTTGTTTGTTTTTTATGCAAGTGTCTAAGTTTTTTGATGTTAAAACTAAAATATTCTTAGCTTTTTAAAAAAATGTTTTGCTTTTAAAATTATTATGGGACAGAAGGAATTAAGGCATAAACGTCACTCTTTCTAAGAACAAGAAGTAGTCTGCCATGCTGAACAATACAAATGAAAGGGTGAGAGGTGATATTTACTGAAGAGTCTGCTGAATATTAATTGTGACTTAATTTGGTGGTAAACATTGCTGATGTAGCAATTACAAAGACTAAGTTTGGGAGGAGGAAAATCCAAATCACCAGTATAAAAAGGAATTATCTACTCCATATTTCATCCAAATGTCTACCAGGCTGACCTTTTACTGGTCAGTAAAAGGCAGTCACACTATGTTGCAAACACATACCTAGAAACTGTATATATATATATATATATATAGCCATATCCATAACCCGGGGTTGGGGGTGGAACTGCCACAGGAAACAATTTTTTATTTTTCCATGAGAACATAACTTAGAATGCATCATCCATCTTGACAATGACCCAGGATGCTCAATTCTACCATACTAATTCTGCTTTTTCTAAAAGACAGTGGGCTGGCCAATTAGCTCACTTGGGAGAGCGTGGTGCTGGTAACATCAACGTCACAGGTTTGGATCTCTGTACCGCCCCCCCCCCCAAAAAAAACCCCCCAAAGAACAATAACGACAATAAAAGATGGGCAAGATTACATAAAAAGGCAAAAATCCAACTTTTTGCTTTTGTTTGGTTAGTGCAAAGTAATGCGTAATATATTCTTGGATGAGTTTTAGACTTTTAATCAATTGTAGCTCTAATACATACTGTCTTAGCAATTAAAGAAACCTGCAAAATTCACTTTTTGTTTTTTTAGGCGAAAAGGCTAATAAACATTCACACCTCTACAATGGCTGTCTTGCATTTTTAATACTAACTGGTCCCTCAAAAGGTTTTCACATTCTTTATTACTTTTTATGCCATCATCCCATGAGCTCACCATCCCCATCAATTTTCACGGCATCCTTTCATTATTATAATATGAGAATACAAACATTTAATATTAGCAAGTATGTTCCAGCATTCTCTCATAAACTGTGAGTCTCATGAAAAGCAAAGAAAAGGAGGTTGAGAAATTCAGTCCAAAGGTCAACGGAAAATTTGGTTGGCAAATTAAAAAAAAAAAAATTTAATGCTGTGATATCAAAAGAGAATTACTTTCTAAAATCTTTCTTGGTGGGTACAGAATAAATATCTGGCATAAAAGGAATGGCACTGGGCTATATGTTAGAAGTCACTGCTTGTTCGGGGGTTGTTTTAATTAACGAGTTTGTTCACCAATCCTGGAGGATGAAGGCAGAGCGAAGATGGTTAAGGACGTGGACACCACGATCACACTGTGCTGTGTTCAAATTCTGGCTCAGTGAATCTCAGCATATTATGTAACCCTTTTAAGAATTTTGTTTCTCCTTCTAAATAAGGAATAAATCATCTCAGAACTCTCAAGGGTGGTTCTGAAGATGAGATGAGCTGTTGCACATAACAAGCTTAGCATATCTAATTTTTCTTTTTTAAGGAAGTTAAATCAGTTTAGTCTATCTAGACTTCTACTGGCCGAGTAGGATGTTTAGAATCTGTATTCACATAACAGGGGGGTCAATGGAGTTTGCTGCTGAGCTAAATGGGAAGAGAAATAATTCTGATATTTTTAAAGAATGGAACAAAAGTATGGAAAAGATGAAGCCCACTTCTTAGGGATTTATCTCTTTGGTTCTTACTGTATCTTCCCCTCATTCTGGGCAAATGATTTCCCCCCCTTGGCTGACATAGGCCATCCCCTCTTCTATTAGCCATGGCTTCCAGTTAAGTTTTAGATAGTCCAGGCTGTGAAAGATCAGAACTTGTGTATTGCTCCAGATCCACTGATAACTGCCCCAGGCTAGTAATGCCATTCAACGTCTCCAAAAGATAAAAACTAAGGAGATTAAACTCATTCTTTTAGCAGAGAAAAGGGAACACAGTTTGGGGTTCATTTAACATCATCATTTTATATGCTGTCAGGAGGACTGATCATTTTAAGGCCAATTTGGCGGTTCTCACTCGTGAGAAACAAAACTGCCGAAATAGATGAAAGGGTTTGTATGGGTAAAAATGCTAGAATTACTGAGGATAGATAAGAAGGAGGGTCCCAGCCACTCAACTGATTTCACAGAAGCAAAGATCATGTGCCTATTTCAAGTCTCCTAGTCCTATTCTTGTATTTTATAGTGGGGAAACTGAGGCTAGCAAGGTAAACATATCTGAGGTCAGAGAGCTGGGAAAGGGCAGAGATAAGACAAGAATGATGCTTGGTTTGACTTTCCCACACTGGTGTGATCATAATAATCACCTAGGACAATATCTAAAAACAGATCTTTGTCTCCTTCCCCCCTCCTCACCCCCAAGCTACTGATGTCAAACCTCCATGGGGCAGGTGAAAATATGTAGTTTTAACAGGCACCCAATTTATGAGTAGGCAAGTCTGGATTATTCCCATACAATGATGATGTCCAATTTAACTGAATAGGGTCTCATCTAAACTTGCTGAACCCAACACTCCAAGTGAAGGTATTTTAAATAGAGACCCCAAGTAGGTATTTTAAATAGAGACTCCAAGTGTCCAAGTGAAATCCGGTAAATTTGGAAGACACTTCCCTGCCATGAATTGTGTGTGCCTTAAACAGTGGCTGTCTAGGTATCCTCAGTAGTTATGTATACAAGGATGATGCACAGAGGTTAATAACTACGACTTAGGCAGAATGTATCCAGTTACTTAGACAGGGTATATCCAGTCACACAGGTCTCTAAAGTACGGGTGGTCAAAACAAGAAAAACAGAGGAGGAAAAAAACCCAGCAACTGGAAAGAGTCGAACTGAAGTGCTTCTAACACACTGAGCATTTACCCAACAGTTCTTTTTGACCCACTTTATCAAACTAAGGTAATTCACATACCTTCAGAATATGGCACCAGTGAAAACTTTTAAACAATTTCTTTAACATGAACTGCAGCATTTGGGTGGGGGCAATATATGGCTCATTTCACCCCAATCGAAGAATTTCCCTACTTTTATTGTATTCTGTCACCATCTTAACATTCCTTACATGTTGTTATTAAAGACTCTCTTGACATTTAAAGCAGACGCACACTAATACTCAGTCATAGTCTAGGAATTCTAATGCTCCCAGAGTTAGGTAGGATTTTAAATTATGAAAAGTAAGTGTTTTGGTGTTCAAAGGATGTGGAAGTGAGAAACCTCAAGACTGTCTTCTTTTTCTTGGCTCTGGTCACAGAGCAGCGGCAACGCAAAGCTCCGATGCTGTTAGAACCACTCTTTCCCTAACACGCTCACAGCTTACTCAGGGACAGACAGAAGGCTCTGTGTGGCTGCTGCTGTGAGTAACTGTCCTGAGTGTGGCCTTGAATGGGGCTAGAAAGGGTCAAAGGGGGATACATTACAGATAGTATATTTGCTAAAGTCTAGGAAGCTGGTATGATTACAAATAGCATCACTAATGGTAGAGT